AGTTGAACAAGTAGACACATGAGTCCTACGCGACATAATACACATAGGGTATCACGTATGATGGAAATTGTCATGTAGGATGCCACATAAGACGTGTGTGTATATTTGTTCAATTTTATACAAGTTTTAGTGTCTACTTGTGCACACACAAAGTTGGAGGACATAAATGTGAGTTGATGTCAAGTTAAAGGACATACTTATGTATTATGCATGCCCTTTATTAAACTAGTTTCTGGGCATGTGTGTTAGCACGTGGCTCTCATGTAAGTATTTATAGATTTGTGTAATGAAAAATAAAATGCAATACTTACAAATCTATCTATCTATTACCTTAAAAACATGAACTCCCTAACTTAAATGTCAAATTACTATAATGCCCCTAACTTAAAACACCCATCTATAGTTGTTTGAATAACATATATTCTTTAGAAAGATTGTGACTTTTCCGATAAGTTATGACTTTTACCTAGGGTTATGACTTTTCCAAAGGGTTGTGAATTTTCTGATGAGTTGTGACTTTTTCAATAAGTTGTAACTTTTCCAAAGGATTGTCACTTTTCCAAAAGGTCATTACTTTTCAAATAAGGCACAATAAATATAGGAATTTCCTCTCATTTTCAACAACAATTTTTTTCTAATCTTCTTCTTCTTGCAGTTTAGATTTTTAGTATGATTTATTATCGTTGAGTGAGTTTGAAGATCAGTGGAATTTGCATTACCACTATTCTGATGAAGTAAATCATTCTCTCCTAAGAGGGTATATTTCAGAACTCGAGTACTTGAGGGAAATAATTTTTGGTGATACAATAATCATTTTTTTTGCTTAATATATATAGTTGTATGTCATGTTCCAATATATGAAACTAATGTGGAAGTAGTTTAAATTCATTTGTTTTTGTTAACAATTTCTCTTGCGATGCAAATATATGCTTTTGAAAAATTATTGAACTTCTCATGAGTCAGAAAATTGTCACGAGTCGTTTTGTTGATGCTCAAGACATAGAATGATTTTATTTACAATGCTATTTATGTGATTGAGATTGTCAGAAAATTTGCTTCAAAATAGTTACTACAATATATACATTTTCCTTTCGTTTTACTTATTTACTTCTTCTTTTATAATATTTATGTATTTTAGTCTAAGGAAATTCATATAATTTATAATGACACCGGGTTGAAGGGTGTAGTAGTTTAATATTAATTTTTATTTAATTGCTCTTTTTAATGATATAAACATTTTTATTACATGTCAATCTTAATATATATATATAAGCAAGGCCTACTCCCTCCCATCTCAGGAACAATTGAAGAGAGTTATCTCCAGTCACGAACATTGGCATACAAAAAGTAGGAATGGATAAATAACACATAAATTGAGGGCTATGCGGATCCTCATACATATATGAAATGGAATAAAGTTGGACCAATCTACTTATGAATGTAACCACAATTAATATCACTACGGTCGGGCTATTGAACACGGGGGTTTTTGTATTTAAATTAAAGTATCATATATGTCACAAAAGTATCATCAAGTTAATGTGAAATAAATGTGCAACACGTGGAAAGCTTTAAAGTGTAAAGTTGGATTACTAGTTTTCCCCTACAGTAAATTAAAATATGATTAACTATCTAAAGAAACAATGAAATTAACTAGAAGTCCTATTTCTTTAAGTAAATGCAAAATTAATAAGAAATTCAGTTATTGCACTTTAATTCTTTAGTTATGACATTATAAATTCTCTTAGTTATTACTGATTATTGCAAACGTTATTCACACCCTTTTACATCCTTTAGTTATAACATTATGAATTCTGTTAGTTATTACATTAACGGAAAAAGGCCTAAAATATCCTCGAAGTATTGAAAATGGTACACAACTACCCCCATCCACCTATTGGCTCCCAAATACACCTCCCCATCCACCTATTGGCTCCCAAATACCCTCCCCCATCCACCTTTGGGTTCAATTTTAGTCACTTCATTAACGGAGCACCATTTAAAATAATTAAATAATCCTTTTAATTATGTGGCGCTCAACCATTAGTTGCAATTTAATTATTTAATATAATTTTAAACCCACCCATTTTTAACTAAACTTGCCTGCCCCAATACAAAAAAACCCAACTAATAAAAAAGAACCCTAAAACCTCGTTCTCAAGTTTACACTCCATTTCCCCAACTTATTTGCAAGAGAAATCATCCCATCTGCAGTGTAATTATACTATATCATCAGCACACTCACAGGTGGTAGAAAAAAACTTATGGAAAGCTTTTCAATTGTATCTTCCAGGCAGGACGACATTAAAGTATGAGACACATAATTTTGAGTTGTAATACATGTTTTAGGGTTGGGGAAATGGAGTGTAAATTTGGGAACAAAGGTTTTAGGGTTCTTTTTATTAGTTAGGTTCTTTTTGTATTGGGGCAGGCGGGTTTAATAAGTATTGGGGCGGGTTTAGTTAAAAATGGGTGGGTTTAAATTATGTTAAATAATTAAATTGCAATCAATGGTTGAGTGTCACGTAATTAAAAAGATTATTTAATTATTTTAAATGGTGCTCCGTTAATGAAGTGGCTAAAACTGGACCCAAAGGTGGATGGGGGTATTTGAGAGCCTATGGGGAGGGTATTTGGGAGCCAATAGGTGGATGAGGGGTAGTTGTGTACCATTTTCAATATTTCGAGGATATTTTAGGCCCTTTTCCGTTACATTAATTATTCCTATCTTTTTTCTTTCCTTATATTAATTTTTTTCCCAATAATTGTTCACATTCTTATACCGCTCCTATATTCCTGATAACACAACATTGTTATTTACCCTTGAATGAATCATGTATGGTTGAATAAATTGAAAATCGCTTACAAAGATATGAACCAACAATGAACATCATATATTATGTACCTTATAAAATAAGAATTAATGTACTAAAAAATAGTTCTAAAATATAAATGTAGTTGTTTTCTAAATATTTTCATATGACATCTAAAAAATTAATTCACGTATTTTAACTTTTAAAATATTTATACTATTAAGCGTAAAATACACGTACAACACACATGTTCGAGAACTAGTAAATCTTTAAAAGTGTGACAAGAAAGGCCAAATAAGGGACACATTTTAGTATTTAAAATTAATTCATTTTAAACAACGAACTGTATATTTTGAACTTTGGTTAGTAATTAGCAAACTTGCAATAAAGTCACAAATGACTAATTTGTGCCCAAATAAAAATAAAACTTACGACAATTAGAAATTCATAAAAAATTAAATTAAAAAAGTCTAATAGAGAGAATACACACAAAAAATAGAGAAAAAAAAATACAACATACACAATTACACATCTTTCTTTAAGTTTTTAATCACTACAATATAGATGAAAAAAAGAAATATAGAATCATTACTTAACTATAGAATAAAAATGATAACCTAGGTTAAAGGTCTCGTGAAACAAAATAAATAAATTTATAAAGATAAAAAATGAAGTATTACCAAAAGATATATTAAAAATTTTAAGAAAATATTTGGAGATTAGGGATATGAAAAGATAAGAGTTATGGATATTAAAGTGTAACAATTGAATAGGTAATTAAGTATGTGTTATTAATGTGAACATCTAAAGCAAAAAGAAAAAAAAGAAGAGAAAAATAATAAATAAATGAAGAATAGAAAATAAATTAAAATTAAGAAACCATGTAAAAAATACATGCAGAAGATGATGAAATTAGTGATCTCGTGAGCACAAATTTGAGAAATTTCAAGTTTCTATCATGCAAGTATTAATGAGTTTAAATTAATAAAACTAGACCCATTCTTTAATGACAATCAAGAAGGCATTATCAATGTGCATCTTTCAAACCTCGCTTGTAGAGGAAATTTAATACAGCATACTGTTTTTTTATATTGAAAATTTCACTCGAATATCTTTACAAAACAATTTTTCATGTGCCTACAAGCAAAAATAGAATTCTCTCTCACACACATAGATAGTTTGTAAACCAACTCTAAAACGTTTTAGTAACTAATTCTAACATAAAACACACTGAAAGAACCTTTAATAATGAATTGAACGAGGAGAAGAGACTTTGAAATAATGTTGGCTAACTTTTTCCTTTCTTATTATATAAATTTTAAAGTGATGTTTAACATGACATATCAATAATCATACTCCCTCTGTCCCTAATTACTTGTTCATTTTTCCTTTTATAGTTGTCTCTAATTACTTGTCTATTTTGACAAATCAAGAAAGGATAATTTTTTTTTACCTATTATACCTTCAATTAAATGATTAATTACTTTGAAAAATATAGAACTTTTCACCCACTTCATAATTAATAGGGGTAAAATGGTAAACTCACTATGTCATTAATTGTTTTCTTAATTGGTGTGTCAATTCAAAAGTGGACAAGTATTAGGGACAGAGGGAGTAATAAATAAGAAGTTATAGGAATATTACCTTTTCCGTATGCATGCATCTATTTTTTTTTCTACCCGATATTTGATGCTCATTTTGAATTTCGATTAAATTTGGATTCGCATCGAAAAGTTCTACATTGAAGTTAAAACACTCCCTAATAAATACATGAATCTATTTACTCATGTTCATCATAAAGGATAATACTTTATTCACATAAATTATATTTATGGGAGAAGTTATAGAAAGAAATTGTGGGAAAAAAGGAAACGTTGAATAATTTATGTAGAGATTTTTGAAATTATTAATTTAAGCTAAACGTAATTGTTATTATTAGTATTATTATTAATTATTATATATTAATATAGATTATAGATGATACAATTTTATATTTAAATAATTAAATATTTTATAACATTTTAATTTATAGCATAAGTAATAGTGTAATTTTATTTTTAACTTTGAGACTTTCCACCTTTAATAGTAAGGAAAATACATAAATGCCCTCGGCTAAATGCACATATTTCGATTGGGGTCCCACTTCCACGTTTTTAATGGGGTCAAAGTTGGAATTAGCAACACACGCCCAAGGTTCTTTTTACCCTTTGCTATTTTCGGTTTCTGTTGTGTACTATTTTCTTCTCTTTATGCCCAGCAGCTTAAGGGACTCGTTGATTTCGAGGAGAAATCCTTTCGTACTATAATGTCGAATTGTTGATTCGGACGACAAATTTCAGTTTACAGGTTGAAACTAGGGTTTTGTTCAGAGCAATTTGACTGAAACTTTTCTTGTTTCAGGCTGTGAAGGATTTAGGGTTTTTTGAGGTAAATTTTTTTTTCTTCAGTCATTAGGTAAATTGTTAGTGGTCCAACAGTTGATTTGGTGTACATAGGGGCATGAAAAAAATATGCTAGTAACCTCATGCATTGTTCTGTAAGTGACTTTTCAGTTATGGTGTTTCTTCTAATCTGATTTTAATGCGAATAATCGGAATATTGGGTGTTAATATGATATATTTTGTGACAAGTTGGAATTTTGCTTGAAGGTGTAATTCTTACATTGTCTGTCTGAGTGGAATCGGGTTCTTGAAATTGAGCTAATCTTAGACCCCTGATATTTGATTTTGTTCCAATCATATTATTATAATATATGATACATTTTGCACAAATTGGAATTTGTTTTAAAGGTGTAATTTTTTTTTTTGGGTTTTATTTCAATCCTCAGAAGTTGGCTTTTGGGATAATACGTGAATTAGATAAAATATTGATAATTATTTCTATATTTTCACCTGAGACTATAGTTTTAAATCCTGATATGGGGTTTAACGATACTACGGTTTACTGTTGTTATTATTGTTATGTTCTTTCAGAATTTACATGCAAATGCAATTTTTTTTTTTTGAGAAAAGGGTAACTTTGTATTCATAGAAAAAAAATCATCATTCAAGAAATGATGAATTGAAAACTTACATCCCATAGTGTGATGGGCCCACCCCATACAGTTTACATGCAAATGCTATTGTAGTACTGTTCTTTTCTAATGTTAGGAAGAAGAAAAGAAATCCATGTGTTTTGATTGATTACTGTTGTTGCTGTCAAACCTTGTCTTGTAGGTCAGACTGTATTGATTTAGAACAATGAATTCAGGCATTCGTGTTTAAAGCTAATTTTTATGGAAGAAAGTATTTGGATGTAGGAAGTGAGTAATTTGTCCTTGTCTTGAAGAATACGGCATGTAGGCATGGGCAAAGATTTGGGGGGAGGGGGGGGGGTCGCAAGGGTGGTTTATCCAAACCCCTTCACTTGAAAATTACACGGTATATACAAGGTCAGAATTGTTTTTAGTGTATATAGTAGATGCCTAAAAATTGTCGGTCCACCACTGCATGTAGGTGAACTGGTGTGGTTGGGGAAATCTGTTTAACTGGTCCAACTGAATGAAATGCTTCACAGGATAACTATTTTTTTTAGACTGTTACATATGGCATATTTCTGCAGACTTCAGTAATTTGTATATATCTGATTAAGGGATGGTGATCGCTATCATGCTCTTCATATGTTATCTTTTTTAATCGTCATCAAGGGATCACTAGTTTCCTGTTGTTTATTCTGTGGATAATGGGTACTACAAGAATAATCTGACTTAATTTATGGCTTGTTGTTCACAGCTGAACGGATGGCTAGTGAAACTCGGTCTGGGAGGAAAAATAAGGATACTGAGAGCAATAAATCAAAGAATAAACAGTCTGATAAAGGTTCATTAAGTTCTGGCTCTGGGAAGACAGATGGGTCCAGTGTAAGAAGGTCAAGTCGAGAAACAAAGCAAGCTGCTTCAAGCCCATCAAGTATAAGGAAGTCGAAGCGTCTTGAGAAGCAGTCACCAACCCCGCCAGCTGTTAAGAGGAGAGCTGCATTAATTAAGAAACCAAATTCTCCGAGCCCTTTAAGAAGGTCTGACAGGGGTAAGAAACATACCCCATCTAGCTCGTCAAGATCAAGTTACTTAGGAATAGGATCCGATTCATCTAGTGTCAAGAAGGAAAAAAAAGAGAAAAGTGTGAAGGAGCTGATAATGGAATCTGAAAGATATAACACTAGCAGGGAGAATGGTGCAGCTTCGGTTGGCTTGAAAAGGAAGAGAATGGATGCGCGTAGTTACAAGGCACTGTTCAAAATGCAAAGAAAGAGATATACTGCAGGTTGACTAATCTTTCTCTTGTCTCTCTCATCCTCCTATAACAAGGGGTACCCTTTCTTGTTAATGTATTCCTTGTTTTTTCTTCTTGTAATAACAAATTAATGCAACATGAAGTGCACTCTCTCCTGGAATGGTGGGATGAGTAAAAAGACTTACTGAATTGCCTATAGCTTTATCATGGCAAAGACACTTTAACTGAAGTCATGACGTATTGACCACCAGATGGCTGTGCAAAATGTGCCTATTAGATAGGAGACACTGAGAAAGTAAAAAAGATAGAACGCCTTTAGTTCAGACGCTGTTACATGGAAAAGAAGCCATTAAAACATGTGGCATCCAAATTATTTTAAAGATGTTTTTGAGCCAAAAAGATTTAAAAATCTCCTTTTACAACCCCTTCCCCTCGGGGCAGATCCAAGATTCCGAGAAGGTGGGTGCACTATTACGAAGAGGTGAATTCAGGATATAAATTTGATGGGTACCTTTAGGTTGTTACTATTGAACTCATTACACATTTGAATTTATAACAACAACAACATACCCAGTGAAATCCCACAAAGTGGGGTCTGGGGAGGGTAAAGTGTACGCAGACCTTACCACTACCTCGTGGAGGTAGAGAGGCTGTTTTCGGAGGACCCTCGGCTCAAGTACATCCAAACCAAGTAAAAGAAGAGGAAACAGTATATAAAACATAACATCCAATAAGAAAAATAGTGCATAATCAACAACGGAGACAATAACATCAAGAAAATACTGTGAGAGGTGAAACGCAGTAAACAACATATGGCTATAGGATCACAGACAAGAACTACAAGTGCCAGGCTAGGACTACTACAAACGCTACCAACCCATACCCTCGCAAGGAAAGACAACACGCTAACCCTACTAACCTTCAACCTTAATACGTGACCTCCACTCCTTCCTATCTAGAGTCATGTCCTCGGTAATGTGAAGCTGAGCCAAGTCCTGTCTAATCACCTCTCCCCAATACTTCCTAGGCCTACTTCTACCCCTCCGCGTACCCTCTACAACCAGCCCCTCGCACCTCCTCACTGGGGCGTCTGCGCACCGTCTTTTCACATGCTCAACCCATCTCAGTCTCGCTTCCCTCAGCTTGTCCACCACAGGGGCCACTCCCACCTTCTCCCGGATAACCTCATTCCTAATCTTATCGCTCCTAGTGTGCCCACACATCCATCTCAACATCCTCATCTCCGCAACATGCATTTTTTGAACGTGTGAGTTCTTGACTGGCCAACACTCCGCTCCATACAACAAGGCTGGTCTAACTACCACTCTGTAGAACTTACCTTTAAGTTTAGGTGGAACTTTCTTATCACACAAGACTCCAGAGGCAAGCCTCCATTTCATCCAAGCATCCCCAATGCAATGTGTGACATCATCGTCAATGTCACCACTTCCTTGGATTACAGCCCCAAGATACTTAAAACTTTCTTTCTTAGGAATGATCTGTGTGTCAAGTCTCACTTCCCCATCTGCCTCATCCAACGCATCACTGAATTTGCACCCCAAATATTCCGTTTTGGTCCTACTCAACCTAAACCCTTTGGACTCCAGCGTTTGTCTCCACACCTCCACTCGCATTAACTCTGTCCCGCGTCTCATCGATCAGTACTATGTCATCCGCAAATAACATACACCATGGGACCTTCTCCTGAATAGACCGCGTCAACTCATCCATCACCAAAGCAATTATAGGTTTATAATTTTCTTACATATATATCTGAACTCCATGTCAAAACTGCTGGGATCTGTTAAGCCCATTGACTCTTTGTACATCCTCAATTGATACTAGTTTTGATATTCACGTTTGGCATAATTGTATAAACCCTTACAGTGAAAAAAGGAGAGTAGGGATTTTAATGTGTTAGACTTGGATTTTTTTGGAAGAATGATCAAACAAAGGAATAAAAAAAAGAAGAAAAAAGTAGTAACTTAGTGGGTGCTTGGATTGGCTTATTTTAAGTAGCTTTTGGCTCTTAACCTCTTTTTTAATTTTGGAAGTGTTTGGGGAGAGGTGATTAGACAGGACATGGAGCAACTTCGGATTATCAAGGACATGAAATTAGATAGGAGGGTGTGGAGGTCGCGTATTAGGGTAGAAGGTTAGTAGGTTTGGAGTTGTTGTGTTGGTCTTCGAGGGTTTAGGCTGGTTGGTGTTTGTCGTTGTACTAGCCGTATTATTATGGTTCTTGCTTTTGATATCTATCATCGTCTGTTGTTTACAATGTCTCGCTTATCGCACTATTTTGTTGCTCTTGTTCCATTCTGGTAGGTTTTGCACTGTTTAGATGCTATGATATCTGCATTGTGTTTTTCTTTTTTGTACTTGGATTTGTTGCATTTGAGTCGAGGGTCTTTCGGAAATAACCTCTCTACCTCCACGAGATAGTGGTAGATAGTGGTGAGGTCTGCGTAGACCCTACTTATGGACCTCATTGGGTATAATGTTGTTGGGAAACATAAAAAGTGCTTGAAAGCACTTTTTTTAGGCTGAAAAAGTACTTTAAATAGAGCCAAAAGTCAAAAGTTGGGTGTTCCCAATATATGGCTTTTAGTTTTAGCTTATAAGTCACTTAGAAAAAAAGCCAACCCAAACACCCCCTTAGAATGCAAGGACATGTCCATTCCCATGGGTAGGCCCAATTTTGTAAAGAGAAATGAAAAAACAACAAGATAAACATAGGATTTGAACCCCCTACCTCACTTAGAGAGGTGTACCCTATAACCATGACTCTTTGAGCTTGGGTGCACACATAAATATTTAAGTATTTTTGAAAAAATAGCATTACTATACATGATCTAGGGAGGGGAGCATGGGTGCACATGAACCCAAGCCCAGCCTAGATACGCCACTGCCTTTCCTCATCCTTTCTTCCTTTCTCATTTCAGTTTTACATTTTTTGGGTGTGCAGTCTCGTGATAAGTTCTGGTCCTTCAGATATGAGTCCAAAAATGCTTTCCCTTCCCTGTTTTCGTCGTGTAGTGGTGCAGTGCATATTCATATTGGTTATGGGGGCTGCGAGTGTCATTTAGTGGTGAAGTAGGAGGGGTTTTATCAAGAAATATGGAGCAGTCATGTTCTTTTAGGTGAATGGGGGTGTGCATGTGTTTTATGTACTATATGGTCTGTCACAGGATGGTGTTTTGGATTTGTATACTCAGAGTTTCTATGGGTGAAGGAGGGTAAGAGAATCTCAGGTGGTATTGGTTTCCAAGAAGGTGCAGTGGAGGCGAGTCTATATTGTCCCCTTTCAGCATAGTGAAGAAGTTATAAAGATGAGTCTTTGGTGTATGTGGGTGTTACTTTAAGAGAAAGGTGAGTGTTTTGGTTGAGGGTTTTTAGAAGATATGACTGTTTGCGGTTTTTATTTTTTTTGATTGGAATATGGACAGTAAAGACAGTGAAGGAATTTTCTGGTGGTGGAAAGAAAGTGTTTAGTGATGCTGTGTGCTTTGGGTGGTTGAGTGAGGAGGACTTCTCGTCCCTGATAAAAAATGATGATGAGTGAAGAAGCTGGAAAACCCTCAAGTTGGCTTCTTATGGCAGTGAAAAAACGGTGCATCTTTTAGTTTTCTTTTTCACTTGGTTCTTTTAGGTGTTTTTGGGAGATGAAAGTCAAACGATGAGAGAGAAGAAGCATCAGAAAAAACAAAAAAAAAAAGAAATAGTTGTGTATTTTTCTTGTATTGACGTGTGTCTAGGACATGTATCTGCATAATTTAAAGTAAGTTATTGTACCATGTCATTAATGTGTGGTTAATAGGACACATTTTTGACTTAACATTAGGTTTATCATAGGTCATACCCTCAGATAAGGTGTCTAAATGAAGAATTCGGACAACTTTGTGGGGCTATCTATGTATTCTTTATAATTTCAATGCTTGGAGTGAAGTTTTTTAATCTAACTGAGTTGGCATTGTCTTATTTGGTGTTTTGGAATTGCTGAAATTTTTATACTGATGTAGATGTTTTCTCCTGAACAGAAAATAATGACAAGTTGGAAAGCCCAAAGAAGCCATCAAGAGTTGATAGCATTGCCAGTGATGAGACAGACTGCAAGCTAATCAATGGGGATAATGAATCTCATCAAGGAGTTGTAAATGAGTTGAAAGAACATCCTGATGAGGTTGCTTCTGCGAGGTCCATTTCTAGCTTAGAAGCTTCTGCTGCAGATGCTTCGGTAAATGATGTAGTGGAATTACCATATTCAAAGTTGAAAGAACATCCTGATGCGGTTACTTCTGCCAGGTCCATTTCTAGCTTAGAAGCTTCTGCTGCAGATGCTTCGGTAAATGATGTAGGGGAATTGCCATATTCAAAGTTGAAAGAACATCCTGATGAGGTTGCTTCTGTGAGGTCCATTTCTAGCTTAGAAGCTTCTGCTGCAGATGCTTCGGTAAATGATGTAGGTGAATTGCCATACTCAAAGTTGAAAGAACATCCTGATGGGGTTGCTTCTGCCAGGTCCATTTCTAGCTTAGAAGCTTCTGTTGCAGATGCTTCGGTAAATGATGTAGGGGAATTGCCACATTCAAATCGCAGATGCTGTTCTACAGAAAAATCTGTTGCTCTTCCTGCAGAAAATGGTTTGGAAGTATCTAAAAATGGTTGCACAGTGGGAGAAATTTCTGGAGATTCCGAAAGGTCACCAGAGAGCTGCTCTGTGCCTGAAAATAATTTGCATATTGCTGGGTTGGCGTGTTCTACTTCTACAGATGGTGATATTATCTTGAAAAGTGGTGAACTAGGCACTGGTAATTGTTCTGAGACGCATAATGATACATGTGACTTGGCTGAAGTGTTTCCTCCACCACTAGGAGATCTTGAAAAGCTTGGTTACAGTGGGGCTTGTGCTTCATGCTCTAGACAGAAAAGGTGACTTTTCTGCTTTTTCTGTTTACATTCTGTTTCTACCAATTCGGCGTAGCCATAATAACTCGACGTTAGCATAGTGAATCATCACATTAAAACTTAATAGCACAGTGTCCTTCTGATAATTTAGGGGTCACTTATGCTAAGACACAAACGTATTACATGCACTTGACTTATAAAGTATTCCGGGGATAGCCAAAACTATCTTCATAGTGCTTTATTTTTATAGGTAATGTGAGAATATTATTGATGTAAACCAGCATTCAGAGAAAGCAAGGGGCTTGGGACTTCCATGTTTGAGGTCTCAAGCTCGAAACCCCTTGCCAGCAAAAGCAAGGGGTTTGCTTTTTGGGTTGAGCTCGTCGCACCGGGCTTGCCTAGTGCGGGTTACCTCTCCTATGTGGTTTGCGAGCTATGGCATAGGAGCGGGGTTTTTACCCTGTGCGCACTCAAAGGGTAGCGGCTGCGAGTTTCCCTTGTCATAAAAAAAAAGAGAGTAGTACATCCAAAAAATAACGTTACAATGTGTGTAAAGAACTGAGGAAGTCAACCAAGGCTTCCTGCTCTTAACACATTTGCCGTGGCCACTTCAAAAGTATACACTTGTGTTTAAGATTAACTACATTGTCCTTCTGTTTCAAAAACTCGAGCATTTCTTTCTCTTCATATGACCCACCAAATCATAGAGTTCGTGATGCCCTTAGTGGATTTAATCTTATCCATTTCATGTGGTCAAATGTTTTAATGTGTACCTTAGTTGTGTTGAGATGTTTCCAACTATTTTGTCTATATTGCACACTCAATTGGTGTGAGAAAGTTTAAGGAAATGTGGATTAGTTTCTCTGTGTGTCTTTTGGGGGTCGTTTTTTTTTTTTGAGAATTAAACAAATGGCAGTAAGCGGGATTTGATCCTTTTGGGGATATTTTTTTTTGTTCATCAAGACTGCTATTTCTTTTCCAAAGCATCAGTTCAGAAATGATATAAACAGTATGTTCCCCAAAACCAATATGAAGACGCCCAATTGACCCTATTTACCTTTTTAGGATAAAACAAGATGTTATTAGGTTCGAACTTTGGTAAAACTGTATCCTATACAACAAGAACAGCAACAATAATGGCTCATTGCCACACTATTTGAGGTTGGCTATATGAATCCTCTAATTCTATTACACTCCAATTGGGACTACTTTTATTCCAATATGCAATAATTCGTCCTTGATCACAAATACGGGTTCTTAAACCAAATATTTTCTAAATCTCACACTTTTTTTTGATAAGGTAACTTTGTATTCACATAAAAAAAAACTCATCAAATAACAACTGATGAGGTGGGATTTACAACCCCATAGGGCATCCTGATAACCAAAAACCCAAAAAAGAACTTTACAATTGTCCTATGAAGTCCACTAGACTTACTACCTCCCCACCATATCCTGTTTACACCAAAAATACAGCAAACTCAGACTCTTCATCTTGATCTTCTGAATGCTGCTAGCTTGCCCGTCATGGGATCTTTCATTCCTTTCCCTCCAAAGTGTCCACCAGATGCAAGCTGGAATATATTTCCACCCGTCCTCTATTGATCTTCTTCTTCTGCTCATTCCTTCCCAGTGTTTCAGCATGTCTAAAGAAGTTTCTGGCATTACCCAACTAACTCCAAGTATACATAAGAACATGTGCCACAGATTTACAGCTGTTTTGCAATGTAGGAATAAGTGGTTGTTAATCTCTGCCTCTTTATCACACATATAACACCTTGAGCAAATCTGTATACCTCTTCTCTGTAACCTTTCGTGAGTTAAACATGCTTTTCTGATCACCAGCCATGAGAAACATGACACCTTTAGTGGAATTTTGATCTTCTAGATTAGCTTCCATGGCCACTCCATTTTCATCCTCCGGTTATGATTCATATTCCAGTAGCAGGAGTAGCAGGATTTCACTGTGAAACTCCCTTTGTTGTGTAGCTTCCATATTGGACTGTCAGGTCCTTCTGTGACACCTGGGAATGGGTTCAACACTTGTAACAGCCCAACTACTCTACTAATTTCCCAGTCATTTAGAGCCCTTCTACACTTGCAACAGCCCAACTACTCTACTAATTTCCCAGTCATTTAGAGCCCTTCTTAAAATTAGGTCCCACCCTTGAGGAGTCCATACCTGTGCCACTGTAGCCATCTGTTGTAGACTTAAAATAAATAGATTTGGGAATAAGGTTTTCAAGTCCCTATCCCCTATCCAAATCTCATTCCAAAAATCAGTTTTAACCCCATCTCCATTTTTGAATGATATAGTGGAGGCGAAAGAAGGCCATAGTCTTCTGATAGTTTTCCAAACAGAGCACCCAAAAACACCTGTTGTTACTTCATCAGTGATCCAGATAGACCATATTTACGTGAGATGAATCTTCTCCATAATGCCAAATCTTCAATACAGAACCTCCAAAGCCACTTTTTCAAGCCTATTAGTCTAATAGGGAGCATATATAAGATCATTTCAAAAGTTTTAACCGAATGACTTAAGAAAGTGGTCTATAATTTGGTGGATGCCCAACAAATGGCCTCCGTAAAAGGTAGGCAGATCATGGATGCAATTCTGATTGCAAATGAATGTGTGGAGGAGAGAAAGAACAGTAAGGTGCCAGGCATTTTATGCAAATTGGATATTGAAAAAGTCTACGACCACTTGCATTGGGGCTTCCTCTGGAAGTCTTTGGAAAACATGGGCTTTGAAGGAAAATGGCTAAAATGGATTAAGTTTTGCACTACAACTGTGAAGTTCTCTATTTTGATAAATGGTGCCCCCTCTGGTTTTTTCTCATCAGAGAGAGGACTAGACAAGGAGATCCTTTATCTCCTTTCCTCTTTATCCTGGCGATGGAGGGCCTAAATGACATGCTCAGAACAACCCAAACAAGAGGATGGATAAGAGGATTCAATGCTAATATGAATAACAGACAAAGTCTGGCCATCTCCCACTTACAGTATGCTGATGACACATTGATATTTTGTGATGCAGACAATTCTCAGCTAAGTACTTGAGAGTAATTCTGATCCTTTTTGAAGCCATCTCAGGCCTACACATCAATTGGGGAAAGAGCTTCATCTTTCCTGTCAATGAGGTGCCTAGGATAAACATGCTTGCAAATATTCTAGGGGGGAAGGTAGGGGATCTCCCCACAACATACCTTGGCATGCCTTTGGGTGACGAGCAGGTCAAAAGGTATCTGGAACAACATTCTAGAAAAGTGTGAGAAGAAGCTGGTGAACTGGAAGAGTCAATATTTGTCCTTGGGAGAAAGAGTCACACTCATTAACAGTGTGCTAGATGCTCTACCCACATATATGATGTCTGTTTTCCATATGCCTACAAATGTGATTTGACAGAATGGATGCAATTAGGAGGAATTTTTTGTGGCAAGGAAATTGTGATCCTAATAATCATAAATTCCATCTAGTGAAGTGGGACCAAGTCATTCTCAGCAAAAAGGAAGGAGGTTTGGGGATTAGGAATCTGAAAATCCAGAATCAAAGCTTACTTATGAAGTGGTTATGGAGATTTGCCTCACAAGAACAAGCTCTCTGGAAGGAAACAATAAAGGCTAGGTTTGGTATGGAGAATTTGTGGATCACCAACCTGTCCACACAGCCCTATGGATCTGGAGTATGGAGATCCATCAGAAATTTATGGATCAAATTCTTTAACAATGCAAAGTCAAGGTAGGGAATGGTGGACGGACGTTGTTCTGGGAAGATAAATGGGTGGATCAGGTGACTTTGAGAAATAGGTTCCCTATTTTGTTCAACATGACCCTTCAAAAAGAGGCTACAATCAGAGAAATGAGAGATAATCAAGGGTGGGATCTAAGGTTTAGAAGACATCTAAATGATGGGAGGTCAATAAAATAGTTGAGCTACTCAACATTCTAGGGCAGTGCAAAGATCTAAACACAAATGAGGACAATCTATTTTGGAATCCAGATGAGCAAGGTAGATTTTCAGTTGGCTCGGCTTATAGAAGTTCACAAAGACCTGGTACTGGCCTTGGAAGATGATTTGGAAAGTCAAGATACCATTCAAGATAGCATGTTTCACTTGGCTGCATTCACTCAACACAACCTCATGAAAAGAGGCATGCAAATCTGTTCCAGGTGTTGGTTTTGTGAATGTGAGGTCGAGACAATTTGAAGTTGAATTGCCTGGTTCTTTTCTTTTTTTTGGTGTAAACATGAATATCCTCAAGATGCAGAGGATATTCCTAGTATTTTAGAGTTCTTATGACCTCCATAGGAGTTCTTTGCTTTTTGCAACTTTTGGATGTAAGTATTACTAGAATACTCATTATGTATTCTTTTGTTTATAATACAAGTTACCTTTCTAAAAAAAAACCACTTTTTCAACAAACTAACATTTTATACTTTCAACTTTTTTTATCCCCATACCCCCTTGTATTTTGTTGAGGGTCACCTCATCCCATTTGACTAGGTTGTACCCAAGCTTCTCTTTGTTCCCCCCTGCCACAAGAAGTCTCTCCTTAATTTGTTGATTTTCTTCTCTATGTTTCCTGGGATTGGGAATAGGCTCATCATGTAAGTTGGGAGGGCATCCATTACTGACTTTATGAGAGTTAATCTGCCTCCCATAGATAGGTATTGGCTCTTCCATTTTGTCAGCTTTCTCTCACTTCTTTCCAACACTTTACTCCATACTTCCACTTCTTTATTTTTTGCACCAAGAGGCATTCCAAGATACTTAGTTGGTTAGGAATCCATTTGGCATCCTAGGTTCTCAGCAAGTATCTGCATATTGGTAACTTGGTTAACAGGGTACAAGCAACTTTTATGCCAGTTAACATGTAAACCTGAGATGCCCTCAAAAATGGTTAGGATGGCCCTCAAGTGCCTGATTTGCATTACTTCAGCTTCACAGAATACCAAGGAATCATCTGCATATAACAGATGTGTGATTTCCATAGTATTTCCCCTATTAGCATTTGCAGGGAA